GTAATGTTCACTAAGGGATATCAAACCAGATAACCTTCTACTTGACAAAGATGGACACATGAAGCTCTCTGACTTTGGTCTTTGCAAGCCACTTGATTGTAGAACATTATCTACGGTGAATGAAAATGAGGCCATGGATGATGAAAATATAAGAGAACCAATGGATATTGATGGCCGCTTTCCCGATGCTGCGAATGGTAGTAACTGGAGAAGCCCTCGCGAACAACTTCAGCACTGGCAAATGAATAGGAGAAAGTTGGTAAGATATTCTTTAAAACAAAAGTGCTTTTAGTTTCCCTACAAGTATTGGTTTTAGAGACTTGTTTTTTTGTGTAACTTTTTCAACTATTAGACTGTACCACAGTATTTTCTTAGTTCTTACTTTATTTATAAGAAGTTGATGTAACACTCCTTGCATTGTATCCGAAACTGGTAAATTTTTTTTTTACTTTCCAATTCACATAATTTAATTATCTACACTTTTCTTTTCGCCAGGCTTTTTCCACTGTAGGTACCCCAGACTATATTGCTCCAGAAGTTTTGTTGAAGAAAGGATATGGTGTGGAGTGTGACTGGTCAGTTCAAGTTCTCCCCCTTTCATCTTAGTACACCAGTTACATTTTTCATTTACTCGATTTGTCAAATGGTAGATATGCACTGTGCATGTGAACGTGCTGTTAATTTCAGGGTTTGTAACTCTAAGGTATGAAGTCGCGTGTTGCAAACGTTTTTACCCATCTATCATCGTAAAATATATAGTTCTTCAGTTTAGAGATATTTGTGCAATCACTTCAGACGGCATGCATTTTTCTTTAGTGTATGCTTGGATACTTTTTCTATAAAAAAATCAATCATTTTTAACCATTCACTTTTTGTTTTAACTCAAATCTAACTCAACTTTAACTTAACGCAACTATCCTCAATATTATAAATATAATTAAATAATATCACTCAATAATTCTTACACATTACATCAACTTTAATTCACTATTCATCCATTCACATAATTTTAACTAACCATCACTTCACAACATCTCTCTCCTACTACTACATCAAATCAACTTTACTTATTTTATTTTAAATATTATTTTAATATGAACTCAAAATTCTACTAATATACCACTTTTTTCAAAATTAATCATAACAAATCAAAAAATCAAACAAAATCAAAAGGTCTTATATCCGAGCATCCCTTTACCTACTCATTGAAAACTATAACTTTCAATGAG